GCAGTTTTAACATCAATAATCGTTTGTTCTATTTGATACTTTTAATAATTTGTGTTTATAAACAAAGGCCACACATTTACTAACCTGACAGCAAATCCCAGTGGCCCCAATTTGTGTCTAAAGAGAACAAGAACTTCAACTTGCTTTTGACCAAATTACCCCATATAAGAACATAATAAAGCAAACTGTAGTAGGCCTATTGGCCCATACATGCCAGCTCCTATTTATATCCAATCAAACTCATGCATATGTATGCCTAACCTACACTTGAAACAATGAAGTGATCCCACATCTTATGCTACAAGGTAACCTGTTCCACAGATCAACCAATATTTATGAAGGTCTTTCCTAAACCTAAACTTAACCAACATATATATATATACACAGTATATTGCACATTGCTTCGTATTATATTTTGTGTCGATATATTTAATACCTTTATATCTCCCTTGTAATATCAATTTATGAACGTGTAACCATTAATCATATCACCCCCTAAAACTTTGCCTTTTGAGGTAATGTAAATTAAGCTTTTCCAATCTCTCATATGGAAGGTTTTCTAATTTGTGGGAATAGCTTCCCTTGCTTAATGCACTGAAGTGATTTTATGTCCATTCTATAGTAGGCCAACCAAAACTTAACAGCATAATACAACTAACACAAGAAAGATGTATCTGAAGAATAAGGTAGAAGTTTTATTCCTAATGATTTAAGAAATACACAGTATTCCAGTATCCTAACTGCCTTATTCTGAACATTCATGTATTCATTCATGGAAGAAAATGCAGAATAGAACCAGTGAAGAGCAGAGGTGCCATGGGCACAATCAGAGAACACTGTATGAACATCAGAGGCCCACGGTTGTTCAACGTCCTACCAGCGAGCATCAGAAATATTACAGGAATAACCGTGGACATCTTCAAGAGGAAACTAGATTGTTTCCTTCAAGGAGTGCCAGACCAACCAGGCTGTGGTGGGTATGTGGGTCTGCGGGCCGCTCCAAGCAACAGCCTGGTGGACCAAACTCTCACAAGTCAAGTCTGGCCTTGGGACGGGCTTGGGGAGTAGAAGAACTCCCAGAACCCCATCAACCAGGTATTAATTTTTTTTTGCTTTAAATTCCTACTAATCATGACTCCCCGATCTTTGTTGAAACCAGACTCTGGAATTTCAATACTGTCATCATTACCAAGCATCAGAACCCTGCATATCGCATTAAATGGTATGTGCCAATCTTTCAACCATTTCAAAAGCCTATCTGTAAAAACCTCTAAGTGATTTTAGGCCTTCTGAATTAATTTCCTGCCCAATTTTTAATTTCTGCAAATATGAAAATATTACTCAATCCTGAATCTAAATCGCTTATGTATACATGATAAACAGAGGTCCCTGGACAGACCCTTGGGGTACTCTGCTTATAATGGCTTTCACTCTGCCCTTACTTCATTTATACCAACTCATTGCTGCTTCTGATACAACTAATCCAACTTAAGATACCACCCCCAATACCGTGAGCCTCTATCTTTCTAATCAGACTTATGTGATAGTATAGAGCTTTGCTAGTCATGGTGCACAAGGTTACAATCGTTTCCAACAACTGCCTCAAATATGCAGGAAAAGAATGAAAGTAGAGTTGCTAAGCATGATTGGCCCTTAGAAAAACTATGTTGCAAATCGTTTATTAAAGTTTTTTTCAAGACGAGATGAATGGCTTTTGCAATTGTCAATTTTCCCACAACAAACGTTAAGTTAATCTGTCCTATAGTTCAATGCAAGCAATTAATTTCCCTACCTAAAAATCTGCACCATATTAGCAACTATCTACAACTCCAGCACACTGCTAAACTCGTGATTTAATGAATATGCAGGACAAGGACTTTCAAAGCACTTCTTTCCATTTTAAAGCACCCTGGCAAACACTTCCCATCTGGTCCTCGGGACTTGTCTGGCTTTAATTTTCAATTTGTTCAACAGCAACTTTCATAACCAAAAAACTAGTCAACATCTTAAAAATGAATATTTTATTTAAAATATTACTGATTTGTAATCATTAGTTATCTGACCTGTCGAGGTTTTTAATGGCCATCTTTTTTTTTCCCCTAATCTTTAAGTGAAAACCCCATTTAGGATTTGTCTTTGCCTGTCCTTTATACACACATCATACATGCTGTTTCTTTCCTTTATTTTAAACATTCCAAATTAGTTTGATAAATGGTTATTCTAGACTGACTTTCCATTCTTAATCCTGTTGTACATTTGGCATCATTATAAAATCACATCAATTTAAAAGATGTACTCTGTTCCTGTGCTTTTCTAAGAATATTTTTAAACACTATAATTTCAATCTATATTGCAATCCCATTCTGAATTACATCACCCACCACCAAGTTCATGGCATACTCCAAGAACAGCTCACCACTCGTATTTTGTCCTACCAATCTGTCCAATCTATCCATCTCGATTCCTTAGTCCACAAAAATCAGCTTTTTGGAAATCTAGCATCTTAACAGAATTTGATCTTACACATCTATTCCAATCAATGCTAAAACTGATATCCATGTAATCCCTGCTCCCTACTTTGATCTCATTTCTCATGTCCCTCTTAGTTAACACTAAAGTCTAAAATATTTTCCCGTATTGCCTCCTAAGTAGGTACAGTAGTTTAAGGAAGCAATCATCAACCAATTCTAAAGTCTTCTGCTTTGTTAATCCAGTTTCTTTGACTAAATTTTAAGTCTACTAACACAATGGCCTAGATGCTTCAGACAGTTCATCTTATACATGCTTTGCATCCATTCTGTCTAAGATTGGTGGCCTGTATACAATCTGATTATTACATCATTATTTTCATGCAATTCTACAGTAACCAGTTTCTGTATGTAGCTCAGTTTTGATCCCCAGTCTGACACTACATTTCAATTTTTTCCTGACATACATTGCTCCTTCCCCGATCTAATCTGTGCCCATGGAAAATAATTTTAATTACATTAATATTTACCAAATAGTTCAATTTCTATATTAATCCATATTTCAGTTACTGCAATAATCTCTAGTATTTATGTGCAGCCAAGAGTAAAGTATTTTGTTTCTAAGACTCCTATAATTTGTGTAATACACCTTAAGGTCCTTGTCAAATTCACGCATCTCTCCATTCCTGTTCCCTTTTCTCCCCCATCAACACCTGCTTTTATTGTCTTTTTTCCCAAAAAAATCTATTCCCATACACTTTTCATCTAGCAGTGTAAACGTCAAGCAAACCCCTCGAACAACAGATTCCAACAAATCTGCAAAGCCAACAGCCACAACCCTAGACGAATGAACCCCATTACTGGATGCCAGAGCCCCCATCACTTACCACTTATGTTTATTATTTATCATTACCTTTGAAATTCTATTTGATTTCAAAGTTTCTTTAAATGAAAAACTATTTCTGTACACGTGAAATATAGCCATGTATAATTAATACGTTTACCATGGAAAACGTAGTAAACATTCGCCAAACTATGTTGTAGGGCATGCTGTCAATTTGTATGTATGTACTGGTACATTTACAAATTTTAAAAGTTTGCAAGTACAGTAGTGGTTTTCTTTTTTATATCTATATAGGTCAATCATGTGTGAATATTTCCATAAAAAAGTAACCTATTTATATTCCAAAATCAACACATTCCAAATTTGGCTACACTTCAATCTCTCAAATACAGAGATACAATCAATTCCTTAGCTATTGTGTGAAGCTATTTTCCTAATTTATTTCTTATACCTACCTGTTATCTGTATTCCAATATTCACAATCCACATTTAGTGGCTGGCCCATCATTTTTAATTAATCAAAATGAACTTTTAGTCCATTTTGTCCACTATCCACACTAAAATATTATCAACTTTAATTATATTTAAAGTTTAAAACCAATTTGGTACACATTTTGTTAACTGCCTTGTTCAATTTCACTTTATTAAACCTATTCTATTAAAACCATTCACCATCAGAAAGAATTCAACAGCCAGTCTGGAAAACATTATCAATTTTTTTTACAGCTTTTGAGGTATGGTATACCAGTTGCATAATTCATAAATTTCTTCTATAATTTGTGGGTTTCGACTGACACGACAACGATTGGCATAATGTGGGTCTTAGAGAACCTGAAAAACTGCATTAATCGTTTAAACCACCAGACCCCAACAGTGAAATGACTTGACTTGTTATCAATAAACTCAAAGAGTTCAATATCAACTACCCTAAAAACTAGGCAACTTTCAAATAAAGAAAGTCACAAGTACCCAAAATTTCTGAAGATTATACCTAATAATGTCTTCTTTAGGACAATTCACTCCTACAACCTTAAATCTAGTACAAAATAATAAGTGCATTAGGATATTATATATTATCGTTTTGTGTTTCAATGATGCCTATCAAATGGCGAGTCAAGCAGCCAATACCTAAGATATCACCATCTTCCTGGAAGTGCTTATATATATATAAATATATGTTACTATCAATACCCTAGATATTTTATCCTCTATTACAACTTAGTTCATCTTTCAGTGTTGCCCCTTTTAAGGCTGCACACATCACAACTAAGCCTTACCTGGTGAATATTCTGCTGGGCTGGGTTTAAAATACAGAAAAAAACCATACCTCCAATTTTTGAAGATTGGACCTGAAAATTCAAAGACACTTACCTTGAAACCCTGAAAAGCAAAGCAACAATTAGTTGACTTACCGTTTGCCAGGGACTATGGGCTGCAGTCTTTCTTTTACTTACCGTTTAAACAACTGCCACTCACTCGATGTTGAATGTCTATTCTATTACCATACCACTATTACACTGTGCCAAATACAGGCCAGTATTTAGTGGTTGGTGATAGTGTGTATGTGGTAATCCCTGAACAACAACAATATCAGGACAAGATATGAATTCTTGACATGATAATGGTGTTGCCAGAGACAAAACCTGGGAGCTTCGTCTTTCCCCCAATAGAATTATATCCTCCCTCACCTGATCAATGATGAAGTTGCGTCTGCGTTTGTACGAAAGCTCCAACAGTTTGTTCAAACACTTGGTGCAGCGTTCAATCAACACCTCCCAACGGCCAGCATAGTTACGTCTACGGGGCAAACCATTGACCTTCATCTTGTCAATAAGGGAGTTCGTTCCAAGGACATTATATTTCTTTTCCACATTTTCTTTGCAATATTGCTCCACCCAAGTTGTCTTCCCGGCAGCAGGTAGACCCACCATCATGATCACCTACAATACAAATTCAGTATGTATATAATCCCAAAGCAGTCAAATTTTTACACTATGAAAATTACCAAACTTTACAAGTTTTAATCAGTTTTTAATCTGCTAAAAAAATTGGTATGAAAATAAAACCACACAAAAGTTAATGCAAATGTTCAACCTTTAATTTATCAACAAGAGTGACAGGATGTAAAATAACCGACCTTACCCAGGATGCATCCCACAACAGATGCCAAACCACTGGGTTTGGCATCTTGTGGGATGCCAAACCCCACAACAGATATATTTTACTGCAAGGTAAACAAGGAGGCATCAGATGAAAGAAACTTGCCTAAACATCTGTCCTGCCACAGAATCCAACCTAGGACTCTTGAGTGTAATTCGACTGCCTACTGAAATTTTTTAAAAACATTTGCCTCCTTCGTATCTAAGTACTGTAAAGCAAATCTCCAACGCTCCCTACCACAGTATTATAAATCACACACTTTCAATTATATCCAGCCTACCTGGCCACGTAAAACACCAACACTGAGAAAATATGATTGCTGGAAGTGAATTAAAAAAACTGAAGTTAATAAAAAAGACACCATTTCATTCACAACAGGTTTTACATTTAACCAACACAAAACTTTAGTTTTAAAACCAACCTCGGCATCCTCTCGTTTCTCAGGATTCTGAGAGCCAAGTACTCTCTCCTCCAGGGGAACATGACCAGCAAATGTATACCCCGTTAATGGCTCACACCAAGGGTCCTCTGTTCCAAAGTTAACCTGAGAAAAAGAAGATAGGAATTATAAACACGTTATATGGATTAAAACAATACAAGCAATGACAAGACATTCAAGACCCTATATTTAAAATTAATTTTTTTTATATAATCAAATGGTATTCCTTTAATTAAATCACATTAAAAGATAAAAATATATTTATCTACATGTAACATCTTTGAGTGAAAAAGAATTAAAACCATCAAAAATAGTCAAGACAAATTATAAATACTGAACATTTCCCCTAGAAAGAAAACAAGTAATTACCCTGAAGCTGGCATTCTTGGTCACAAGGTGGGGAAACAACGCGTGGTCACCAAGATCAGCATGATGAATCTCGTATGCCATTCCCTGATGCTCTCCGTTTACTGTGAACGACATAACAATAGGCTCTGCTTCCATGTCGAGAAAACAGCCAACAATATCTCCTTTCCCGAACATTTTACCATAGTCCTGAAATAAAAGCTCATTAAGTATCCATATGTACACAATATGAATTTATTAACCAAAAACCAGACGTGGTAATACTATGAGAATCTAATGCAACATTTTAGTTTGCCAACTATAATAGACTATATATTTCAATCACATGACACAAGGGCAATTAAGTGTATTCCCACCTACATAAAATAAATCAGGATTCAAAGAGAAAAAATGTAGAGTATAAATTTTGCCTGTCAATGACCACATGGCATCATGACTTTGGGAACCCCCCGACCTCCACCTCCCTACACTACTCTCTAATTTTGTCTTTGCAAATTGACATGTGCGCACGCACAGTTTCAAAGCATATGACAGAGCATTGGGAAGACTGAACACCACGAGAGTAGCTCTCATCCTGTAACTACACTTAGGTATTTACAACGTATGACAAAGAAATTATCAAGATTAAAATAAATTACATAAAAAAGATAATGATCATTAACTCTTAACTGCTCCTGTCATTCTCAAACAGTAGACTGACAATGTTCCTGTCATTTGTGAAAGATTTAATGTGCCACTTAATAGCCAAAGTTCCTAAATGTTTTATGTGGTTGGCTATCATTTGTCATATTGAAATAAAATCCTGAAAGCCTTGCTTATCTTCCTGCGCATTATTATTATTATTGGCACCATGTCAGATGCACCACCATTTACTGACACTGATGTTTGGAACCATTGATGCCACGTAAAATCTCAAGGACTTTTATAGGCCAGGAAGATATATTTGTATTGAGAAATTATTACAAATTATTTAATTAATCTTCAGAATTTGACCTTTTCTTTATTTCATTATGGCAAACCTATGATATTTAACATTTTCTGTCAGAAAGACATTTTGCTATGTGAAAAGGAGAATTTTGTATTCATCTTTTTTATGCACAATAGGAAAGGGACCTAAAAAGTGGGTAAACCGTTTGAGAATTAACAGCAATGAACATTTAATCATACCTTGAACCTCAGATTTGTCGAGGCCTTTCCTGTGCCTCCATAACCATAACTGAAAGGGTCTTCACCGAGGGTGAGTCCAGCATCATTGATAGACCAACCACAACGCAATACATGAGGGTGCTGCTCCTCTTCTTCCAATTGCGGAACGGGTAAATAATCTTCAACTTTCACTTCATAGAATATCCGACCATGAGTAAATCCATATGAAGCACGCACACCATGCCACACATAGCCGAATCCTTGCATAGTTAGTGGTTGAGCACTCAAATAGTCCTCCTTGCTGATTATCAAGCTTAGATCAGAATTATCTGAAAACACAATTCCATGTACAGTAATATACACAGTACTATATTTTTATTATTTGTTATTAACATTCTAAAAACAGTCAAAACTTTTATTAACAATACTTACACCAATCAAGTGCAACAACTGTCTTGTCCATTTCAGGTTCATCTTCAATTCGCAATTCTTCAACATCTGGGCGAGATCTTTTGGCCTCAGGAGAACGAGAGCGTGAAAGTGCTCGTTTCTCACCTCGCCTAACTGCTTCAGTTTCTTCACAATCCATTTGCTCTTGTTTGGTACCATATTCTTGTTTAACTTCCGCATCAAATTCTTCTTTGATTTCTGTTTCTAAGCCATTGTCTTGTTCAGTCTTTATATCTAAGAAGAAATAACTTCAAGTTAATGTACATTTCTTATTACAAATTATGCACATTAAAATATTCAAAGTTAATTTTACATAACAGCGAACATTTATTTAAAGTACAAGGCCCTTAGTATTTATAGGCATTTGTTTTCAAGTTCCCTCTCATCTGCCCCCCCCCCCTCCCCCCTGCTGCTGATTATGCCAAGGCGTAATTACCAGTATTATGGTAATTACCCCTGGGACTGTAACTGTAGGGTTCGAGTTTATTACCCCTAGTCTTGAAGTTAGAGGTGGAGGTGACTAGCAATTACTTAAATGTAGTTACAGGAGAGCAGCTACGCTCGGTGTCCCGTCTTCCCAGTACTCTGTCGTGTAATGCTTTGAGGCTACTGACGGTTTTGGTCTCCACCACCTTCTCACTCACTTTGTTACGAGTTTGTTTGTTAGTGCATTCCACTTAATGCACCAATGTTCACAACAGTGCATCAACTTGTAGTTATATACAATATGTGAACACAGTGTGATAACAGCAAAACTAGTATGTTTTATTTTTCTAATATAGTGGTTTACATATTAGTTACACAAATATATATCTGTGCATACTGATGTTCTACACATTGTGATAATATAATATGGACAGCCCAATGCATCAATGTACTGTACTGTACTTTAAAAAATCATGTTAAAAAACATTAAAAGCGAGAATCCATCTGGGTCAACTGGTGTACTTTGTTTCTACTTAGTGACTTAAGCATTTTTATTTTTCTATTTCATCTCTTGAACACTTATGTACTTCTTAAAAATCTATATTACTGTATTTCTGTTTCTCTGAAAACCTCATTTCACACACACACACACATACACTTCAAGAATGCTCATTTAGTGTTTCACACAATTCCTTTCCATTCTCTTAATGTGACCCCCATTTTCAACCACTGGATTTTATCTTTAATATGCAATTTGCTTTCAATAAATTTATAGAACAGGTCTGGTTCTGTTTCACTTTTGTCTGTTACTGTATCCCTTTCCCAAAGTCTCTTTATCCATCTCTTCTCATTGCCACACAGTTATTCTTGCATATTTGTATCGCTTGTACATTTGAGGACTTGACTCTCCTTACATTCACCAAAATTTTTTTGGTCTTTTGTTCTCTAGCCGCCTTGCAATTTCTGTTGAACCAATTCTGTTTTTAAGTTCATCTATTTTACAGACTTTTCTGACCATTACATAGCTCACAAAATTTGGCATACATCTCATTTACTTACTCCCTTGCCTAACAATGTCTTTCCAATCAAACTCCTTAAAAAACTTGCTAAATTTCAAGTGTCATTCTCCTACAATCAAGTTTTTCAATCAAGATGAGGTTTACGAATCTGCCAGTCCAAACGTCCTCCATTCTTGCTTTGAAGACCACCCAGTCTATTGCTTTCACGCTGAAGTCCCATACCAACAATTATGATTTATCTTTATCTGTTCTTGCTATTACCTCTCATTATCATTTCTCTCTGAAGATTAGTCTTCATCTCTCTCTCTCTCATGATCATTACGAGGCCCTCTCATTTGTCTTTGCCGAGTGGACTGTAGCCATTTATGATTATCAGTTATTCTGAATTCAAATCTCCAGTGAAGAGCCACTATGTGAAGGTTGTGAATTGTCAATTATTAATTCTCTTGCCTTTTGGTATTTTTCACTAGCATGAAAGTGCATCCACCATTTATTAATTTTTTTGCCATGTCTCCAAATCAAGCAGCCCTCGGGAATATGATCTCGCTTAAAGTATTACCTTCAAGCTTTGTCTCCATTAGTGTGACAATATCTGGTATCTTAATCAGAATTACATCATTTAGCTCCAGTATTTTCTTTACCTCATTAACCTATCTAGGTTACTTTATGTGATTTTCAGAAATCTTCCCAGGCCCCTTTGTCCTTTCCCCATTTCTTTCTTGGTGAAACCTTGAAAAGTTTTCATCACATGTCGACACTTCAGTAGACACTAACAAACCCACTGTCAGCAATTTTTGTTTTGATTCTCACTGCCTTTGTTCAGGCAGCCCTCCCTCAATACTTTTTCAGATTTAAATGTTTTTTTTTTTCAACAAACCCCACTCACCATCTTTTATTACTGATCTCAGTATATTTATGGTATCAGGACCACCACATACATAGCTCACTCCAACACTACCACCTAGATAATAATGATGTGACAATCGTGCAGTTCTCTTAAGCTGCTGCTGTTGCCCATTTGCCTTGTGTGCCTGTGGGTGCTGTTTTTGCTGTGTGCCTGGACATGGAAGGGACATTGTGTGTGTATGAAGGAAGGGGTCAATGTGGGAAGGGGATGCTGCCTTTGCCTCATGTGCCTGGATGGGGAAAAAGGGGAGGGGGCTGCATAATGTGACTAGGGGAAGGGGGGGGTAAGGTTACCTGCTTTTGCCTTGAGAGCTGGGAAGGGTGGGGGGGGTTGCTGCCTTTGCCTCGTGAGCTTGGGCAGAGGGGGTGGGTGCTTTCTTGTTTCAAAGGTTGTATTGTCTTTGTTAAGGCATTCATGGTAATTTCAGTATTTTTGTAACCACCAACACCTTCTGTAGTCACCAAGTTAGATCTAATTTTGTCCATTTCTGATAAATCTTTGAGAAAGTTATTGCATGTTTTGGGCAATTCCTATTTTATCCTGTTCCGTAGTTTCATAGCTAATTAATTACTAGTATTTTCCCTAGGTCAAAGTTACTACTTCTCACAAGCACTGCTGGCTGCAAATTTGGAGCGATTCACTATAGGCTTATTCCATGTTTAGGCAATAGTATAGTACCGATGCTCATAATCAGGAACTCGTACGTTACTCATGTTTGGGGTTGTCCATGCCAGGCTTTCCTGGTTGAGGAGCAACTGCATGTACTGCTGCTAATTTAATTTCACAGATTTATTTTATTTTTAATTTTTTCCAAGATTGGGAATGATCCGTTACATGCATAATGGTGCAAGCAGCTCAGGAAGATTGCTTTCCCTTTATTGGAAATGTATTATATTTCCTGGTATCAGATCTTTGGAACATTTTTCTGAGGAAGTAGTTGGCTTTGCCTGAACCTGTGACACTTGAAACGTCACGATGGGTTCCTGGTCAATACCATTTGTCAAACTTCTACACTGTGCAACCATTATGCTTGTGGGATTTTCCCACTTCCATTAAAGGATGAATTTGTTGCTGGGAGTAATTCTTTCCTACTGTGCACCTTTTGTCTAAGATTACAAGCAGTATTTTTTTCCACTACACTAAATGAGTGATTTAAAGTGTATATCAAAAGGATTGTCCATTTCCCCAAAATTTGACAAATTTGCATTCTCGACTCTGGAATTCACATTTATTTCCCGGTATTGGTGGTGAGCAAGTGGATTGGGAGAACGCAGGCAATTTGCCTATCACAAAACTGTACCTCAAAAGGTCGAGTTTACTGGAAGTGATGACAAGTTACAGTGTCAGCTATACACACACACACCTAACAATTAATGACTGCAGCAACAATCTCTGCAGAATTTAAAAAATAAAATAAAAATAATTAAATACCAAAGATTTTAAAGTAATTCTTTAAATAAGATTAAACAATAATGACTGCAAAATGCGCTTCCAATAATGGGTCTTATGAATACAGTACTTCACAATTTGATGAAAATTGATATTAGTATATAAGGAATAGTTCCATGACAATTTCAGTTTCCAAATATATTTGTAACCATTTTAATTAAAAAATAACACCCAACTGGGTGTGAGGGTCGGGTCATGGGGGGAATCTTGCTGGCTAGGTGTGAGGGTCCCCTGTAAATCTTCCTAGAGGGAGTCATTTGAATTAGAGATTACTGTTTATCCCATGACATTAGGTCGTGTGTATAAACTTCGGAGCAGCAATGCTTACTCATTTTACAGGCGTCATAACCGCTGCACGCACCTCGATCCTTAATGTCATGAAAAACCTCCCACTAGGGTGCTAGCGGCACATTAGCAAGCTAACCTATTTACAATACAATACACACATTTTGGTTTCAAACTGATATGTAGAGGCTTTCTCCAGACATCGTGCAGACAACACTAATTCTGCCAGGAAAACAAACAGATTAAACTAAGTCATTCCAATAGAGCACAGGTTCCCAACCTGGGGTCCATGGCCCCTTGGGGGGAGCCTTTTTTGCAACATGTAGGCAGCCATAAGTTAAGGCAGTGTATATGTTATCATACTCAAAGAAAAAATTAAAATTTATTTTGCTACTTTTTTTTTAAATACAGAGTATAGGGGCCATTAATATGGACGCGCTATAAAAAAGGGGTAATGGGCATAAAGAGTAAAGGATACCTAATAAATGAAAATGAATTTGTTTAATGATTTTTTTTGTAGGCCTCGTAAGTAAAGCCTAAGTTGGTAAATAACCCCAAACAACTAATTTTCACAAAGTATGACAGTACAGTATGTACTGTACTAAAAAATTGAGGTATGTGCACCAAATACGATGCAAAATATAGTCCCTCCGCCCACAAAGCTTCTCCTTTCTACCCACAAAACACTAAGTAGTGGTGGTGGTTGTTTACTTAGTAATAATAGGGCACAAAATGTTTAAATGCCTCATTAATTATCCTTTCCTGTGATGCCTCCCTAACCTATGAAAGTGGGAACGTGTGGTGGCGATGCACCACTACCCCATAGTATACTGGTACTGTACATGCGCTTTAGTTTGAATGCGGCTCAAGGAGGAATACCCCATACCCCAAAAAATACATCACATGATGCAGATAACTCCTAATAATAATACAGTAAATTACTTACCAACTTCATCTTCTGGTGCCTCTTCATAGCCATCCTTAGAAGACTCATCTGGTTCATCTTTTACTACAGCTTCCCGAGGCCCAGGCTCCTTTCCTTTGGCTGGTGACGAGTCTGGAACTTTCTTTGCAGGAGAGGGTTTAGGGTCTGCTACATTTTTCCCCGATGTGGGTTGAGCCTCTGGCACCTTCTTTGTAGGCGTGGATTGAGTCTCTGGCGCCTTCTTTGCGGGCGTGGGTTGAGCTTCGGGTGCCTTCTTTGCGGGCGTGGGTTGAGCCTCGGGCGCCTTCTTTATGGGCGTGGGTTGAGCCTCAGGTGCCTTCTTTGCAGGCGTAGGTTGAGCCTCGGGTGCCTTCTTTGCGGGCGTGGGTTGAGCCTCGGGTGCCTTCTTTGCGGGCGTGGGTTGAGCCTCGGGCGCCTTCTTTGCAGGCGTGGGTTGAGCCTCGGGTGCCTTCTTTGCAGGCGTGGGTTGAGCCTCGGGCACTTTCTTTGCAGGCGTGGGTTGAGCCTCGGGCGCCTTCTTTGCAGGCGTAGGTTGAGCCTCGGGCACTTTCTTTGTAGGTGTAGGTTGAGCCTCGGGCACCTTCTTTGCGGGTGTGGGTTGAGCCTCGGGCGCCTTCTTTGCGGGCGTGGGTTGAGCCTCGGGCGCCTTCTTTGCGGGCGTGGGTTGAGCCTCGGGTGCCTTCTTCACTGGGGTGGATTGCGCCTCCAGCACTTTCTTCCTTGGAGTAGACTGCGCCTCTGGTACTTTCTTCCTTGGTGTAGATAGCCCCCCCGGCACTCTCTTCATAGGTGTGGGTTGAGCCTCTGGCTCTTTTGTTTCAGCCACTGGTTGTGAATCTGCTTCCTCAGACCCCCCCTCATCATCATCCTCATCCTCCTCATCACCATCTTTCTCATTAACTTGTCCACCCAATGACTCATCATGGCCAGCTTTTCCTGAGGAATACAGGGAAAACTAGATATTTTTATCGCATCTGATCAGGGAAACTATCCTCGATCCCATATGCCAAGCCTATTCATACTATACAAAACTACTGTGATATATATATATATGCAATTGACGATCACTAAACACTGATCATTTGTATGCGGAAAAACCACAAAGAAATGGGGAAGAGATGAATGTTTCGGCCTATTAAAGCCGTTGTCAACACCAGACTGAACCATGACCGAGTCTGGTGTTGACAACAGCTTTAATAGGCCGAAACGTTCATCTCTCTTCCCCATTTCTTTGTGGTTTTTCCGCATATATATATGTATATATCAATTCCTAAAATACCGCCCTCTTTACATGTATTATCTTATATGGCCAATTTATTTATAAAGGCTTGTCGTACAAATTGCTGTTATGCCTTTATACAAATATCTCTAATGATTAAAAAGATAAATGCCCTTACCTCCCTACTTTTTTAATATATAATGTACTTTATGTACTATACAATACAAAAAGGACATGCAGAGGTTAGTTTGGGTGGGTGGTACTCCATGATTAAATTTAAGCTCTAAGCTAAAGCACTATACACCTTAGGTTATTCGGCAGGATGGGTAGTTTTGATGTTGCCGACTGGGTGTGAGGGTTGGGTCATGGGGGGACATTTGCTGGGTGTTCAAGCTGGGTTCAGGTATGGAAAAAAAAAATGCCAAAATGGTTCTGGGTTGGATGAAGGGCGTGAAGGGAGACCGACTGGGAGGCAAGGGCGTGAAGGGAGACCGACTGGGGGGCAAGGGCGTGAAGGGAGACCGACTGGGGGGCAAGGGCGTGAAGGGAGACCGACTGGGGGGCAAGGGCGTGAAGGGAGACCGACTGGGGGGCAAGGGCGTGAAGGGAGACCGACTGGGGGGCAAGGGCGTGAAGGGAGACCGACTGGGGGGCAAGGGCGTGAAGGGAGACCGACTGGGGGGCAAGGGCGTGAAGGGAGACCGACTGGGGGGCAAGGGCGTGAAGGGAGACCGACTGGGGGGCAAGGGCGTGAAGGGAGACCGACTGGGGGGCAAGGGCGTGAAGGGAGACCGACTGGGGGCAAGGGCATGAACGAGGGCTGGGATATATTACATGAACTTTTAGCTAATTCAAGGTCTCATCATGGTGCCCGTCACAAAAAAAATAGTTCACAAAACAAATGTAAACAAAATTTTATTTTTAATACAGGAAGCAATTGCAAGTAGCAATTGGAGCCACTGAAGTGTTCACACACATTTTACTCTAGCACTTCCTAGTGCAAGGCCTTTCTGCCTTTATTGCATATCACATCCAATGATTTAAATTAAATCAAAGGCAGACAGGCATAATGTCTGTGTAGCCACTGTTTAGCTGAAAGACCACTAATGACAAAACCCTTTACAGTAAAACCTCACTTAAATGGCATTTCCTAATAAAAACCACACCATAAAATGCACTGAAGACCAAACTGGCCCGTGTAAACTAAATAGAGTATGCAGGAGCGCTTTTTCCCAGTAAATACCAGAACATCTCTTGGCAGTAGCTTTCTTGCAATATCAAACATTATCAGCATCCCAGAATATAAAGAACTGATTGGTGTCTAATCACTGGAAAAAATAGAAAAATACAACCACAGCAAAAAAAATAAATAAATACAAAACAAAATATGACTAATCTAAATTTATCAGATCACATGTTTGATCAACTTATTAAAATAAGGTTTTACTGTATTATGTTTCAGGTATCATTAATGTAATTACTCTTGGGGCACACAATAAACCATCCTGGATGTTAATGTGCAACTCCAAAGTAACTTGCACTATACAGAAGTACTTAAAAATAATTCATGCTAATTAATCAACAACTGCAGTGTCGCTGGTCGAAAGTTATATGTCAACTCAGGAGCAGGACCTGCACATTGTAATTGTCTAATTTAAGGGTACAAAAACTACTTAAAAATTTATCATATGCAAAACTGTTAATGATAAAATTACTGTACTGTTAGTTAGAAGTAAGATGCACTAAATACATATACTATACTTCCTTTCACCTTGAAAATTATAATTACACAACACTACACCTACATACATACTACAGAATGTACTACAATATTAATTATGTATGATAATACTACTTTTCACGCCTTTTAGAGTAATTATTATTCAATTATTCATTATAATCACCCGATTTCCCACTTTCTTCGGGAAGGGAGGCATCAGCGCATATGAAAAAAGTGGGTAACATGTGTAATGGAAAACCATAATACCTATATAATATATACAAATTATCACTCCACTTATTGTATAGCACACACTATATATCATCACCATTGAGCAACCCCCGTCTCTCCTCTACAATAGCAACTCCCAACTTCATAAGTTTACCTATTGATGATTACAATAGTAGATAGGCTTGTTAGTTATACGTACATATACCAACTACTTCAACATTGCCTTTACCATTATTGTGCGATGTTCACATTCAAGGATCACATCTGCCATGTCATCCAATCTTCCAGTTACTGCTTCTACTGTCAAATTCAATCATACACTACTTATGATTGATACATCTACATACACTACACTCAAGCAAAACATCTCTTACAATCTGTTAATAAGCTGTCTATTTCTTGACTTGCTACTTTCAAACAACAGTAACTGGAATCCTTACACATCTTCACTGGCACACTGTACATCCATGTCTATCTATTCCTACCTTGTTTTTGCCTAAAAAGGGATTTATGCACAAGCCTCTTTCCTTCTTGACTTGCTATATCAAATATGAAAGCTACAATTTCAACAAATTCATTCTTTCCCCTAATGTAAGTTCCCTATCACAAGTCCATAAAATGCTTAACTAGTTTACGTAAAGTGCTGATAATGCCAAAAAATACTTATCTGCTTACATGAAATTAGAAACGGTAATCTTATTACTCACATTAGGCACACACGCTACAGTCACACTTCTCTTTCATTGCCTTATATTTGCATATTGAGCCAAGGTGGACATAGAAAATTCATTACAGTACTTCTTATACAGGGACTTCTCACAGCCTTCAGGGTACCAGGCCACAATTATTTTACCTTGTAAAGGCCTAGTTTTTTATCAACACTTATGCTGTATTTGAAAGTTGTCAGCCATTTTAATTAAAAATGTAAACTGTATACTGTGGTATCAATTTAATAAAGACTAATTGGAAATTATATAGTGCAATTTCATTTTGGCAAGCTTCCAGTTGCAACACATCTTTCTTAAAATATTAATTATCTTTAATAATTAATATTTTTCAATTTTATTATTGAAGCTCAAACTTTATCCATTGAGCATGTGAACAATTAGAATATGAATAGTAACTTTTAATATGGTTCCAGTTACGTTTCTAAAATTTTCATAGATGGACGCAACACTAGGTGAGAAGTTGGAGCCTTGGAAAATCCATCGAGCATAATTAAAGCCAAATTATATGGTACATTTTTGCATTGGCAGTTTTTGTTTACCCTTGTGTGGGCCCATGCTTCCATTGAAAATTGTTTCAGGGCTGGGGCTTTTGAAATAAGGTAGATGAGGTGAAATCTCTTTACAAACAGGTTCTCCATGTGTGTGGAGAGAGAGAGAAGAGAAAGAGAAATATAGAAACGAAATGGAGTTGGTCCCTAGTTTGCCAAATTGAGGTTGCGCTGTACAAAGTTAATTACATCAGAAGTAATACTGATGTTTCCACCAAAATACAGCGCAGGTGGCAATTGCCTTATCTTTCAACCAAGCTTTTTTTTTTTTTTGTTAATAAAAATTGTTTTGTCTGTCTATTCTTTATATTTTTTCAGAGTACACGTTAACGTTGTGCAGTCTATTTCGATGCACTGTCATGCACCCCCCCAAATTCTGACCATTTGTTTCTTCCGATTGTTATTTAGCATCCAGAAAATAAAAAATCCTTGTACAGTCTGTTCCTTTAGCGTTTAGCCAGTGACCCCGAGCAGTTATTTTTTGGGTAGAAATTTAGCGAAGCGAGAGGCTGTGCAGCAATAAAAATTTTCATTGCTTCTCACTTTATTTAATTTTTTCATGCTCACATGTTATACTGATGTGGGTCAACAGTGGTATTTATTATGTATAACTTTGAAAATATACCCATGTACAAGACTATAAATATTAGCACACCAATATTTATTCATACAATACAGTATATACATATATATAAATACAATATGTATAGAAGCATAAATCTTAAAAATTGCACATATCCATTTGCATGCAAAATGTGTGCTATCACTGACTTCCCATTTCTAAACATTCATAGGTTCCTAGTATGGACAGTTCCTGTGCTTTCACACACTGGATGGCGATGCACCAGACATGGTCCACATCTTTGTAGTAACACCCTGGCAAGAAACTAAAGGGAGATTTTTTTCTTTACAAATATGGTAAATGATCAACAGAGGTCTTCACGTGTCAAATGACGATCTCCCTAGAATGGGTGCAGCTTATGAATAGAATTGGACATGTAAATCCTCTCTAGACAATTAGAACACATGGTGTCAATCACGCTCAAGTGATTGAAGCAGTAAGAGAATGACCTACAATTTTTTAATTAAAATTTTAGGTAAAAATCAGCCATTTTTCTAAATACAGCAATCGATGGAAAATAACTTAAAATTATAGCGACCGAATCTAACAGATTAGACAAACGGTGAAAGATCGGCTTCCAACGCCACCACCAGAGCCAGGTCTTTGGAACCTGCAATGGGGCTTAAGTGAAGTGCCCTACTCCCTCACCACTCGCACATTCCCAGTGTCTTGAACCACTGAGTGCTTATCCTAAGGAGCTTTATGATGGTCTATTCTGCTTTTGGAATAAGCAGCATCTCGCAACTCATAAGCACTTCAGATTAGTTTAAGTTTCTGTACGTCTAATTTGTTAAAAACAAAGTAATTTGTCTAAAACAACTAGCACTTTCCCCCCTACAGACTGGTACAGAAGCAGACGACTTCTAAA